TGACAGACTCAGCAAGTGGTAGCAGTGGGAGTACAGCAGCATGCAGTGGGCCCAACACAGATTAGAATTGGAGCTGCTGCTATGAATTCTGCCTCAGCTACAATTGCTGCCTGCGTCTCTCCATCCCTGTGACTTTCTGTTCCTTTGTATCTCTTAGGATTTAGCACTTCATAAATCCATTGAAAGAGTAGATTTCTTGCTCTTCAAAGGACAATCTGTGAGAAGGAAGTCTGTGGATGGCCTCCTGTGCTTTCCCTTTCTCATCCACGTCCTCCTAACCAGAAATTGTAAGGAAGTTGTATTAGAAAGAGGCCAGGCCACATCAGGTAAAAGAAGTACTCTCTGCATACATGTTTTCTTGGCAGCAATTCAAAATGCAAATTGCATTATTATTATTTTTTAATTTGTTTTAAATAATCCCCCCAAATTTAACATATCAGTATATTTTCTTCTAAACTATATATCAAAATCATATCAATGTAAACAATAGTAGAAAGTGAAGTTATTATAAGATTTAATAAATACACATTAATTTTATTAAAAATTGTGTTTTCATTTTAACAGCACTAGACTAAAGGAAGATTTCCTATTCTACATACTGAAATATGTGTATCTTTATAGAAGAGTATATATCCTGATAGAACATTTTACACACACACACACACACACACACACACACACTCCAGAGAAATACCTCTCATGGGTACAGACCACCTTTGTTCAAATCGTTATGTTCACAGCATACTTGGGAGAACTAATAGGAAAGTTCATTTGTAAAGTATAAAACATGTATTTCCATGGTTAAAGAATCTGATGCATGGGGTGTTTTAATTTTCAATGAATGGTAAATAGGACAAAATTTGTAAAAGGGATTTTTTATTGTCATGTAGATACATGGAGACAAAAAGTAAAATGGAGAAAAAAGTAATATTCACAGTAAGAAAGTTCAACCTAGTAAAAATAATTTGAAAACCAACTAATGAGATTTACCAGCAAAATCAATAAGACATCTTTTGACAAACAAATATTGAGAGAAAAACTGACATCATTAACATAATAAAAGTACTACAAGAAGAAATCTATGTGCAAATGACTTATTTCAAAATTGATATCAAAGGTGTATTAGCAACAGTGTATTCAAGCACTGTTTCCTGAAGAACAAGGGATAAAGTTTCATCATATATGAAATGACAGATAATTTTTCCAACTAAATTATAAAAACAAACCTAGTAAAATTTCTAAGGCCGTAAGAAATTTATAGTACTCATTTACCCAGTCTTCATCACAAAATAAACAACTATGGAGGGCCCAGAGCATAGTATGAATCTAGGCATTATTGGGATGTGTATCTAAAAATACACTATATTATTTCAAGGGAATTCTTCTTCTATTCAATATATGTTCTATTATTCTGGAGCGGTGGCTCAGAGAAGAAGAGCAATTACTGCTTCTCCAGAGGACACTGGCTCAGTTACAGTACTCACACTTACAGGGTGGCTCATGACATTTTGCAACACTGGTTCTACTTGATCTGCAACCTCTGTCATGAAGTTCACAGATGTACATGTAAGCAAAATTCCCATAGACATAAAATACAAATAAATAAACAATTCAGAAATAATTGAGAAGCAGTGTATAAGGAGGTAACATCAGAGATAAATTAGGTTCATACTATATAGTACAGTATGTGATGATTTCCCAAACAAGCACAGCATTGTAACTTAAAATCATTTCAGCAATGACAGAGTAAAAAAAGCACAGGGATGGTTAACTAATATATCATGAAGTAGAATGAATTAATACTCAAATGCTTACTAATCTATTTGTATGTTGTGAAATCTCACTGAAACTCAGGACAAATGGCTAACTTATTTAATATATCAGAAGTAGGTGTAGGCTGCTAGGACCAGTAAGAAAATCCTGGCTCTTTTGAACACTTCTCTTTCCCACCACTTCCCAAACTTGTTTTTGTCTGTGAGATTTGCTGCCCTACCACAGCTTCTCTTTTCATGTAAAACCCATGGGTTCCCATAGAACTTGCTTCCACATTCTTTCTCCCCCATCTCTTCAATTACTTTCCAACTCCTTCACCCCCAAACTCAAGGCCAAGTGTATTCTGCACAGCTGAGGCTTGGATGTTTCCAGGTGTCCATAGTTGTGCCCTCCCTCATCCCTTCAATAAAACATTCTTCTCAAACTTGCCTGCAAGTGGTCACATCCTCTTTTTCACTAATCTGTTAACAAAACTGCAGGACTAGCATACGGGGCTTCCCTTCGAAGAGATGAGTCTCTCTGAAACATCTCATCTGACTGGAATGAGGCTTGTTGGTGTCTTCTGCCAGTCAACAAGTTTAACTCCAAATTCTAGAGTGACACTCTTCTCCCCCTGTTCTAATAATTCATTTCTGGTCATCTATTTTTGTAAGCACCTCACTGGTTATTGAAGCCTGCTTCACCTCTTGGAAAAACATCAAACATTTCACTCTGGGTACTGGATCCTGCCACACCCTCTAGGGTCAAGAACAAAGGGACAAGTAAGACAGTTACTTGTCTCCCTGTGTTGGAAACCTCTTCTTTCACAGAAGTGTCTTCCAGTCCATCTTTTTAATAGGTTTCTCCTCTACCTGCTCTGACTGCTCGTCTCTTCTCCTCTAGTGTTAAGTGTCAATTCAGAACTTCCTATTTTCCTTACTAGTACTACAAAAGCCACACTGGTGTACCAGGAACCCTTGTAGTCCTGCCCATTTGACATGAATAGAGATGACACTCCTCTGTGACTCGTGACACTTCTCTCCTACAAGTATCTTACTCTTCTTGGGGCTGCCCTAAATATAAATTCTAGACATCATGTCACTCATATTTCTGAAATCTTTTTCTCAGCTAATTCATGGTGCTTTGACTTCCTTCCTTCTAGGAGCTGCAGCCCCACAGCTTCCTTCTGCCCTCTTGGACAAGTGATCATTTCCTTGTCTCCTCCTCCTCAGAGCAATCTGAATTATCCTCACTTGGGCCTAAGTATTACAACCCTGTGCTCCATATCTCTTGCTACAAATTGGCTGCTATGGGCCATCATTCTTGGTGACCTCCTAGGCTTCTAGGATATGGGAATCGTCACTGGGTTGGAGGTTATTTTTCTGCCCTGTTCCCTCTAAGCTCCATTTAGAAGGCTAAGAGATTCCTTAGATGACCTTAAACTTTACTTCTACCTGTACCTCACCCACTTCTCACAGGTGTTTTCTTTCTCTCTTCCTTTATGTCCTTGTGGTCATGGTATGACTATCTCTTCCTCCTTGGATCAGAAGATCCTAAAACCTCACCTTCTTCAATAAAACACCCTGTGTAATCATAGCTCACTTTAAGGCTCAAGATTGCATACACAGTTTTCAAATTACCTCATAAGGAATCCACTCCTGCACCTGCACAAACAAATGATGCTCAAATCTCTTATATCTAAATTTTATCTGCAATAAATTTTAAAGCCTTTTCTTTCTAAGGTTTTACATACTTCCATTCTTTTTATTCTTATCTAAAACAATCCATTCTAACTGGAGGTATCCCTCCTTCTAGCACTTCCAGCTCCTGCCCAGCTCACCTATTCCCAACCATGACTGTTTTATGTCTACCCCAGGAAACAGATAAAAGGAGAACATGCACAAACATTCATTCCAAGCCTTGAAGAGGTCAACTAATAGGAGGGCAGGAGTCTTAAGAGCAGGAAAAAGAGTACAAGAGAACTTCACTCCTACCCTCAGCATTCCTCACCACACCCACAGAGAAAACCAAGAGCCAACAACCATAGCATCTATGCAGTGTACCTAGTGTAGACTCATACAGGCTCGAAGATTGTGCTTCAATATCTGGGAAACCCAGGAATCCAGCTAAGATAATTCTGTTGTCTGTGCTCATCTTGTGTCTTTGACATCTTAGGTTTCCAGAATTCCGTCTCCCCCTCTTCTTTGGGGTTCCCCAAGCTCTTAGGTAACAAAAGCAATTGAGACTGCAAACCTGGCTTTTTCTATACCTAGTGTTTAGGTGTGGGTCATTTATACTACTCCCATGCTCCCATGTCCTCCTGAAGGCAGACTATTTCATGACAGTTGAAAAAACTAAGAATAGAGCAGAACATCATTATTGAAGCTGCTTTATTTTTCTTGTGGGAGGGGCAGTTATGTTTGGTTCTATTGTATGATTCTGGCATATCTTGCTTCTAGTTTCTGGTCAACCAGTCAGCGTCAGTTAAAGGCTCCTTCTTCTTTCATGTGCCTCTAATTAAACCAGTCAATAATTGGCTATGACCACAAGTGTGCTACTACTGACCCAGCACATCTTGCAAGGAGGAAACATTATAGGCTGAACGTTTGATTCCAGGATTGTTTTCGCCTCCCTCCACTTCTCCATAAATTTCCCAACCTACCATGGCCCCAAGATCCCCTCCTCTCCCATCCCCTTCAAAAAATAGCAGGCCTCTTCAGGATATCAACTGAACAAGACATAATATGTGAAAATACTAATAGGCACAATTACTCATATCAAAGCTAGGCAAGATAATTAAGTAGGAGGAAAACCATGGGAAGATTAGTCAAAGACACACACACACAAATACACACAGGATATCTCTCCGGTATGATTCCTTTCATGCATTACAAGGTGACACTGATATGCAAGGCTTAATCAAGTTGACTATCTTCATAGGGGTTCACTCCAATTTGTGTTTTTAATGCCTTTGAAGAATCCCATATGTGCAAAGGATTTACCACACTGGTTATATTCATAGAGTTGTCTCCATGTATGTGAACTTTTATGCCTTTGAAGGCGACAGTGGTATGTTAAGTCTTTACAGCATTCTTTCCAGTATGTGTTCTTTTATAACTCTGAAGATTACTTTTATGTGTAAAGGCTTTACTACACTGATTACATTCATAGGGTTTCCCTCCAGTATGCATTTTGTTTTGTTTTGCTTTTCGAGACAGGGTTTCTTTGTGTATCTCTGGCTGTCCTGGAACTCACTCTGTAGACCAGGCTGGAATCAAACTCAGAAACCTGCCTGACTCTGCCTCCCAAGTGCTGGGATTAAAGGTGTATGCCACCACTGCCCAGCTTCAGTATGCATTTTATCATGTCTTTAAGACTACTGTTGTGGGCAAAGACTTTACCACATTGGTTACATTCATAGAGCTTTTCTCTTTTATGTGTTCTTTTATGCCGATGAAGATAAATGTTCTGTGCAAAGGCTCTACCACATGGTTTACTTTCACAGGGCTTCTCTCCAGTATATGATCTTTTATGGCTTTGAAGATGGCTGTGACGAGCAAAGGCTTTACCATACTGCTTACACTCATAGGGTATGTGTTCTTTTATGACTTTGAAGATGACTGTTATGTGCAAAGGCTTTACCACATTGTTTACATACATAGGGCTTCTCTCCAGTATGTGTTCTTTTATGACTCTGAAGTTGACTGTTCTGTGCAAAGGCTTTACCACATTGTTTACACTCATAGGGCTTCTCTCCAGTATGTGTTCTTTCATGAATCTGAAGATTAAAGTTCTGTGCAAAGGCTTTACCACATAGTTTACATTCATAGGGCTTCT